CCATTGACTTCCTTCTGACCATTACCAGGAATGTGAACAATCCTGTTCTCCCAGTGCATTAGAAAGTAGAATACCACCCCCACCGCCCCCAGCCAGCCCTGGAAAGAGCAGCCTCCTTTAGGGGCTGGCCTGGGTGTGTCCTTAATAGAGACTGCCTCACTGGGGTTGCATGATTCATGCCCTGACTGCCTTGGTCATGAGACGCTGAGTCAATTTTGTAAATTATTTTTCCTAATAGAGTGTACATGTCCCAATCAGGGTCTCATTCACACTTCTGTAGTCCCACCTATAACTATGATTCATTGATCTTCTGTAGCTGTTTCCTGTGCTATGTTTCCTGTGCTATCAGAGGTTTCTCTGATCCCACATAAGCCCTTGAACTCCAGTATGATCTTGTGCTAATAATGGTGGTCTCCCTCATGTTGATGATGAGTCTTTGCTTTGTCTTTGTTCTGTTTAAGGCTTAATAAATGTTATCCTTAAATTATATCTGAGATTTGAGGTCTCTTGTACCCTAAAACAAATGGCAAATATTAGAGGTGGAGCGGAGGGTTGGGGTGAGTGGGGTAGGAAAACTAATCAAAAGGCCTCCCTTGAACATGAGGCATCCAAGAGGGAGGCCAAGGAGGCAGAATGTAGGGCCCAAGACTCAGGAGAAAACAGTGTTCTAATAAGAGAGGAGCCAAGTATGGGAGGGATTGGAAAACTGTCCTCAAAGCCACAAAATGATTCAGTAAGATAAATGAGGATCGAAACACTGGAAGCAACCACACTCAGATTTTGAAAGACCCAAAAGCAATTCTGGAAAAACAACAACAACAACAAAACGCCCTGTCATCGAATCAATTTGACTCATAGTGACTTTATGGACAGACTAGAAACGCCCCTGTGGGGATTCCAAGACTTGGAAATCGTCATGAGAGTAGAAAGCCTCATCTTTCTCCTATGAAGCAGCTGGTGGGTTTGAACTGCTTGTGGTTAGCAGTCCAATGCATAACCAGCTGTGCCACCAAAAAACTCACGGCCATTGAGTCAAGTGATGCTATTTGGACAGGGTATAGAACTCTGTGAGTTTCTGAGACTGTGGCTGTTTGTAGGAGTAGAAAGCCCCATCTTTCACCTGCAGAGTGGCTAGTGGTATTGAACGGCTGACCTTGCGGATCGCAGCCCAGCATGCAACACTACACAAGCAGGTCTCCCAATTCCAGAAACGCAGTGAGAAAAGACACTGGAGGGTAAGAGGCTGAATAACAAATAAGTAATGAAGAGGCCATTAATATATGAGGAGGTACACCAAAAAACCCTGAAATCCACCCCACCCCCAATCAAAGCTATGATACTTAATGCATTTGTCAAATCTGCGATTCTATTCTTGAAAACATTTTTCCAATTCATCTGTTTGGATGACTGACAGCACCTCCCTCGGTGCTTTTCTTCACCTCTTCTACATTGCCAAGTTGCTGTCCTTTCATGTCCCTCTTCATTCACAGAAACAAAAAGAAGTTGCATGAAGTGAAGTCATGAGAGCAAGGTTGATTGGGGCAAGAAAGGCGTGCTGTTTTTTGCCCAAAACTGGCTCACTGAAATGACTGCGTGAACAGGATTATTGTCATGGTGGCAAAACCAGTCCCCCATCTGCCACAAATCAGGTCTTTTTTTGTTGCACACTGTTACTCAATCTTTTCAGAACCTCTAAATAGAAAGCTTGACTAACAGTCTGACCGGGTGGAATGAACTCCAAATGCAATATTCCCGTCACATCAAAAAAACAGGTGAGGATCATCTTGATCTATGATTTCACTTGCCGATGATGGGGGGCAAGATGATGATGGAGTCTTCAACTGGCTTAAGTGATGTTTGCTTCCAGGGTCATAAGACTCACACCATGTCTCATCATCAGTAATGACCTTAGAAAAATAGTCTGGGTTGCTTCAGAGCTGTTCTTTCAAAGTACGGTATGTTTCATTCAGTGCTCTTTTTGTTGGTCAGTCAGAACCTGAGGCACAAATTTTGCAGCGACCCTTCGCATTCCCAAATCTTCCATTAAAATTCGCCGAACCAAACTCCAAGATAGTCCAGATAACATCCTCATCTCTTCAATGGTCCATGGTTGGTCTTTGAACTCAAGTGCAGGAATTTTGTAGACATTTTGCCCGTTCAGGAAGTTGTTGGATCTCCATAATGAGGTTTGTCGCTCAACATCTCACCTTTTTTGGAACGAGAAAACCACTCTTACACTTGAGTTTTTCCCATCGCGCTGTCCTTGTAAGCTGTGTCCAACATCACAACAGTTTCTGTGGCACTTTTCCCAAGGAGGAAACAAAATTTCACAGCCACACACTGTTCTCTGAAGTCAGCTATCACCAAAAAATGAGGTTTGAGTGAAATTGTTTTATGAAAAAATTCACTACTACCAGAGAGTACCTTCCCAGGAGACGCCACCGGGTACACTAACTCAGAGTGAGTTGCTTGCCTAGTGGGAAAAATCTGTACTACAAAACCTCTGCCTAGCAGAGCTATTTTCCAGTTTTTTGGTTACCCCCTCATATATAGATAACATTTGAGAAGTTTTGCTTTAAAAGAAATGGGATGAAATGAGAGGGATATAAAAGTCATGAAAGATAAATTGATTCTCTAATTTGTTTAGTGTAGGGGTAGCTAGCTGCCCTGTCTGATGACTGTGACCATATGTGCAACAGGACAACACATCACCTGGTCCTGCACCATCCCCACAATCACTGGTATGGTTAGCCGCATTTGTTGCTGCATGTCAGTTCACCTCATAGGTTTCCTGCGTTCTCACTGCCCCTCTATGATGTCCTTTTTCTCTAGTGACTATAGTAGTATCAGAATAATTCAGACTCATTCAACAAGTGTTTATGAGTCCCAAAAACATTGCCCATATAGAGTGTGCAATTTACTGGGAGATGGGAGAAAATAAACTAATACACATAGAAGAGGGTTTCAAAATGTACATGGAACGATGGGATTTTTCTCACATACTGCTTTCAGGTGGAGAAATGTTTGTCAGAACAAAACACCCTCATAGAAGAGAGTACAATTTTAAGAGGCGAGTCAGATGCTGGTTTTGAGGGAGAACTGAATGAGTGAGCAAGTAAACATTTTAGCTGAGGGCGGACCTTCAAGGTGAGAGGAAGTGAGGAGGGGGAACGGAGCTGCAGAGAGGAGCACAGTGTGTCACGGAAGAGGGGGCGGCCATGTGGCTGACGTGCAGTGAGGGGCAGGTAGAGAGGTAAGGGGGCAAGACAGAAATGCAGGGGCCTTGCAGTGCATGGCTGCAAGTGTGCATTGTATGCTGTATGTAGAAAAGACATGGGAAACCATATAAGTGTAGAAAACAAAGGATCATCTGGCTGTTGTGTGAACCTGAGGCTTGGAGGTGCTTATGTGGAAGCAGAAGAGGATTTAGGAAGTAGCTGCCACAGTCTCCAAAAGGTGTGGTTAGGATACAGGTGGAAGAGTGGGAGTGAGTTGAGGGGTGGATACTAACAGTCCTATTATCAGGTACGTTACAAAAGAAGGATTCAAAGATGGTATCAGGTATTTTGACCTGAGCAACTGGGCTCAATCACGGCTGAAGAGGAAACCGAAGAGGATGAGCAGGTGTGCAGAGGAGGGGGACAAATCAAGAATTTACTGTTGAACATGTTGGGTTGGAAATATCTGCTAGACAATCAAATGGACCAAATGAAGAGGTGAAGCAGGCCACTGGAAGCAAGAGATATGCAGGGCCTAGAGATAAATATGTGGATAAAACAGCAACATAAAAATGGTTAATATATATTTTTGTATAAAACCCCACATCCGTTGAGTCAATTCCATCTCATAGCCCCGGAAGTGCACGTGGTATCACCCAAGGAATGAGCTCCGATGGGGGTGAGGTCAGGAGGTAAGCTTTGGCACACCAGAGTTTAAAGGCCAGGCAGAAGAAGAGGGGTGAGCAAGGGAGGCTGAGAAAGAACAAGGGCGTTGTGAGCGGATCAAGGTGAAGTGACACCCGGGCAGCCTGCAGCTGAGAGAATTTCAGGAAGGAAGGGTGGTCAACCGTGCCCAGTGCTGCAGAGATAAGCATGAGCGCCAGGAGAAAGCACCAAGGCCCTGACTCAGGATGAATGAACAATGAGTGTTCTGAGATAACATTCCTTATCCCTCAGCGTATTCCGATGACTTAAGAATACAGAATAATGACTCAGTCATCTAGAACACCAACTCTGTTCTCTCTGATGCCTCATCAAATAGAAAGCCCTCCTTCGGGATTCTCCTGGGAAGAACATGGGAGATTCCTGAGCCCGAAAAACAAAGGAGGCTCCAAAGGGCACACTTGGAAAACAGGGAAGCAAGCATGCTCCCAGTGTAGACAACCAGACAAGCAGGGCAGGGCAGTGTGAGGCTACACGTTGTCAATTTTCTACCTCACAGCCCGGAGGAAAATGGAATCTGGCTGTTCAGAGGTCTCGGTGCACTGTGAGAATCATAGCATTCTTGTCTTCAGACACCTTCCTGTCTTAAGGCAATGCCACACATTCCCTGTCATTGAAGCTACTAAAGTACATCATTCAAAGGCCCTTGGATATTGGAAATACCTTCACCAATACGTAAGGTCACTGAAATAGTTTTCATTATCCTGCATCAAAATACTTTTGCCAAATCTTTCTTCACCCTTGTCTCCCCAAAGTGCTCTCCTGGAAAGGAGGGAGGGTCGGGGGGAGAGACTTGTATATGAGACCCAGTACAGTGTGCCTGGAATTGGTAAGAACTAATTTTTGCTTTCTGAATTCATGTTTTAGAAATGAGACTACAGGAACAGTTATTTTTAGCAACTGACAAATAAATTAGGAAACTTCAACTCAAACAAATATTACCTCGGGCACTACTGTGTGCCAACCAGGGATAGAGAGGGGTCCTATTCTCCTGGAGCTGGCAGTGCAAGAGGAGAGGAGAGGAAAGGTACTACTGGGATAGAATTGCATGCATCTTACCGGGACCGGAGGAGAAGCGTGTGTGGGCAGCCAGAAAAGGCCGTTTGGAGACAGGGTCATCACCTGAAGGACGAGGAGGCACCATTAAACACAACAGAGGAACATAAAGGGGGTGGTATCAGGCTGTAGTGGGTGCGGCAGAGGCTCAGTGGGAGAATTCTTGGCTTCAGCGTGGGTACAATTCCTGCCCAATGTACCACAGGTACCCTTGTCAGTGGAAATTAGATGCAGAGCTATTCAACTAAGGTGGGCTAGGAAAACTGGCCTGGTGGTCCGCTTTCAAGTCAGCCCATGAAAACCCTGTGGCACACAATAGAAAGACCCTCAGCAGAGATGTGGTCAAGGACCACAAATGGGGCAGCATTTCAGTCCGCTGCGCACGGGCACACAGTGAGCTGGGGACAGTTCAACAGCAGATCACACCATTAGGCAGCAGAAAGAGAAGCATCGGACGTGAGTCCTATACAAGAACTAGGGTCTGGCCTTGAACAAGACTTTGGCCTTTCTAGTTCTCACTTCCCCTTAGCTAAAATATGGGACAGCTGGTAATCCAAGGCCAGGGAGCATACCCTTTCTGGTGCACAGACCCCCCTCCTGGGAGTTTTCGAAACAGACTGACTCCCACTCTGGAAATATGCTTTCATTGGTCGGGCATCAAAGCGAGCTTGTCTTTAAAAGCTCCCTAGGTAATGCTAATGTGCAGCTGGGCTGAGAGCCCTGGGGAAGAGACTCTCTCAAGTGGTCACATTTGGGGGCTGAGGTTCTCCAGCCCTGGTGCTCTGGGGAGCTTTTAAAAGATCCCAGTGTTGGCTTCAGTCCAATTAAACCAGAATCTCTGAAAGTGTGACCCAGGTATAGCCGTCTTTCTCAAAGCTCTTCGGTTGATTCCGAGGCACAACTATCGCTGAGAACCACTATTCTAGGACCCCTTAAATCAAAGAGTCCCTATTATGGCCAATGAAAAAAATCATAAGTTTCTTCTACCCAACACGGGGGTAAGCTGTATGCTAATACGTGCATGGCAAATGGGAAATGCCCCTTCCCCAGTGCTCTCAGCTCTCACGACATTTAAGATTCAGTGGAATACATCTATAAAAATGGCTACATGGTGCACTCCCCGCAGTACTTTTCGTTGGAATGTGATCTGCATGGCTGACTGTAATGTGAACACTGCGTTCCCTACCCCCGAGCTTGCTTAAATCCACTTAAGAGGTGATGGTGAACCAAACAAACAGTAATTAGAGACACTCCAGACTACCTTTTAAATCTGTCGCTAAATTATATTTTTCCTGCACCAATGCCCATACACACAGCATGTTCACCAACAGCCTGAAACCAAAGCCTCAGAAATGTTTGCATTAATACGGGCAGCAGCTACCTCTGGGCCTCGACGCTGGATTTTGCAGGGAAGTGTGGGCTGTTCTGGAAGAGAGCCGTTCAGGACTGTTATTTCTCACATCTGGGTAAATAAAAGCACTGCCCACATGTGGTTAGAAATCCCAGGTGAAAATGAGCTCTCCAGGGGTCTGAAAATGAAGAACACCTCTGATGTACTGTCTCATTTCCTGAAATGACTCAGAAATGAAAGTAATTCCTCAGGAAAGCGCATCTGCGCCAGTGGCGCAGCTTATAAAATCATGCCAGATGATACCTGTGGCTCAGAGGCTGGGCCTGGGGATGGGAAGGGAGGGAAGGCCTAAAAGAGGCCTTCATCTCTGAGCTGATGCCGGTAGCTTGGAGGGGCTGCAAATGCGAGGAGCAGCCAGGCCTTCCGGGCTGGGTGATAAATCTTGATTTGCAGTAAGACGGCTCACGTTCCATTAGGAAGCTGGCCTCTCTCCAGTAGGACAGAGAAGGCCAGAATGGAGGAGGCCAGAATGCATGGGTGTGCTGCTGATAGCACTGAAGAAGCAAAGCTCACCAAAGAATTTATTTTTAAAAGAAAAGGAGTTTTACTTATATAATCCCATTCTAGGCCTGTTCACAATGGAGAAAGACCTTCCTTCCAGAAGAGGTCTGCTAAGGAGAGATGGGCTAACCCCACAGTGAGCCCCTTTCGCAGTACCCTGGAAGAAGGTGAGCTGGTACCTGGTCATCAGCTGGAGGATGAAAGAGGCTAAAATGTCTCTCACCTCAACAGGTGAACCCAAAAGTTACCATTACCCAACTTCAAGAGCCACTTATTTTCCTTAAGGGTCTCAATACTCTTCTTCCCAGCGCAGACTTCCAAAATGAATCAGCTCCACTATTTGGAACTGGGGATGGGGAGTGGGGGTGGGATAGTCTGGGTTGACCAGAGAAACAAATTCATAGACACTCGTAGGTATATGAGAGCGCTTTATATCAAAGAGTAATTGTATATTAAGAAAGCATTCCAGCCCAGTCCAGATCAAGTCCATAAGTCCGATATTAGCCCATATATCCAATACTAGTCCACAAATTCCCCTTCAGACTCATGCAGCCATGCAATGACGCTGAATGCAGAAAGATCACAGGGCAGTGGGTGGAGAGTCTTGTGGACCCAGTGGTAGTGGAAGTATCTCAACACTGGTGCGGGTCTCCATGGGTCTCCTCCAGCTCTCTGAGTGTCTCAACAACAGAAAGGGAAGGCAGAGAGAGTGGGTCTGGCGTCCAGTGAGCTTTTTATGTCCATCGCGCCTCCAAATGAGGTCATCAAGCTGAGACCTGATTGCCAGGCTAGACTCCACCCCATCGCTCAAGTTGACAGGAGATGCTGTAACTGCCACAGGGGGTATTCTGGAAACAACCTATTGTTCATTGCTGTAGATGCCAACTCATACCTGTTAACAGGTGACGAGTACTTGTGTGCCATGTGGCTTTTCTTGATGGTGCAGATTCTTTCTCTAGCAGCACGGGTGGTGTGTTCAAGCAGTAGCCCATCCATTCACAGCTGAGTGCTTTAGTCCCTGTGCCACTAGGGCATCTTAACATGTGACTTGTTAAATAAAAAGGCACCCTAAAGGAGCCATGGTTAAGTCCCCATCTGCTAACCAGACAGTCATTGGTTTGAACCCACCTTCAGGTCTTGGAAATCTGCTCCCGCACACAGATTGTAAAACTAAACCCAGTGCCATAGTCCATTCTGACTCAGTGGCCCAAGAAGGTGGAACAGAACTGAACCGATGGGTTTCTAAGACTGTAAATCTTGATGAGAGCAGGCAGCCTCATCTTTCTCCATCCTTTGACTTGTTGATCAACTGGTAGGTTAGAACAGATGGCCTTGCAGCTAGCAGCCAATTCATAAGATTACAGCCTAGGAAACCCTTGAGGGGAACTCTACTGAGTTTCAGTTATAAATGAAAACAGACGTGAAACACAATGAGACAAATTAACCAGGCCCCTAAGCACTGCTAGGAATGCCATGGCCTGCAAACCGCCATGTGGGAGAAAGACGCAGCTATGTGTGCCGGTAAAGATTTACAGCTTTGGAAACACTAGAGAGGGTCGCTGGGTCGGAATCGACTCGATGGGCGTGGGCTTGGTTTTGTCTGGAGTGATGCATGCAGCTTGCTTTTGGCTACCAACCTAAAGGTGGGTGGTTCAAATTCACTGTGTAACTGCACACAAAAGGCCGACGGTCTGCTTCTGTAAAATGCCAGTCAGGAGAACACTGCGGGGTAGTAACATTGTAACACCTGGGGTTGCCAGGAGTCAAATGGACTCCCCGTCAAGGTAAATGTAAATCAGGGGCATACACAATGAAATATGATGTAGCCGTTTAAAAAAGATAAATCTACTTGTGTAGACACAGACCTGTGGGAGACAACACTATGTGAAAGAAACACCCAGGGTCTCAATGTATACAGTAAAGCTCCTCTGGTGTAAATGCCTTTAAGAAAATTGCTTTTAATGTAGTGAAGAAGCTGATGGTGCCCGGCTATTAAAAGATATAGTGTCTGGGGTCTTGAAGGCTTGAAGTTAAATAAGCGGCCATCTAGCAGGGAAGCAAAAAGCCCACATGGAAGAAGCACACCAGCCTGTGTGATCATGAGGTGTCGACAGGATCCAACAAGCATCAGAAGACACACAGCAAAAAACCATATGGTTGAGAACGAGGAGAGGCAGAGAAGAGACCCACAGCCCATCTGTAGACAATGGGACATCCCCTCACAGAAGGGTCATAAGAAAGGGTTGAGTCAACCAAGGCCCAGTATAGCACTGATGAAACACATGATATTCCTATGGTTCCTTGAGGCTTCCTCACTCCCCACTATCATGACCCCAGTCCTGCCTTTCAGTTGATGTATGGATTGTTATAAAAGTTATAAGAGCCCCCAATAAAATGATCTTAAAAAAAGAAAATTGCTTTTGTGTAGAGGGCTGGGGCTGAGTGTTACTTTTTAACTTTCCTAACTTTAAATATTGAATTTTCTTATCACTAGATGGAAGTCTATGAGACGCAATCAATTAATATGGCCCTTGTAGACATAATTCCTTAAACTGCATCGTAATTCTGGACTCTGCTATGGCTGTGACCCCATCCTGGAGGAAGTTCTCCAGGACAGGATTAATTGAAGGAGGAGATAAATCATGGTCTTAGTTGAGGGTGTGAATCACATCACCCCCTTTGCTTCCTTGAGGGCCCGGGTAAGACATCGTTACTAGAGAGTATGACATCATCCTTCAGTTTTCTTCATGGTCAGCTACAAGACAAACCATCCTTCCATCAAAGCAAGTCCTCAAATGTAAGGGCCACCTGGGGCACAGAAAATCTGCAAGACCATTAGAAAAGGCATCGTCAAGACCTCTGCATGAAGAGCCAGCGTCTCTGGCAGAGCACAGGGACTGGGAAACTGAGGACGGGGAAGACAGTGTACGCGGACAAATTCTTTATTCTCATAAATAAGAAGCCTGAGAGGCCGGGGTTCTGGGTGAAAGGAGGCCTTCACACTTGTGAGTTAGAGATGAGTCCCAATCGCACTCTCATAACTAAGATTAATCCCCACAATGTCCTCCCATAAGAGTGCTACCTTAAATTCACCTCTTACAAGCACATGGCTGATTGCTCTCTGGCTGGGAGCTTTATCTATCTG